TCTCCTGTCTTGTGAGAGAGATGACCTCGACGCTCCGTTCCTATGCAAATGCTCTTGCGGGCGACTTTACTGCTCGCGCCCCTTCTCCAAGTTCAACGTCTGGTTTTGCTATAGGTAAGTCCTGCAATGTCCTAGAATATTTCCATGAGGCTCTTGAAGGTGGAGGTGATTATACTTTTATTAAAAAGCTTGGAAAAAATAGGGAAACCTGCACTTATTCTCACAGAGGTTGAAACCGGTACTCTCGCGTCCTCTTGGCGTTTCTCTTTGGTGGGGAAATTCCTTTATGGTCACCCAAAACTGGAGATCATTAGGAAGGGGTTTGATACTATGAAACTATCAGACAGTTGGAACATTGGCCTACTTAACGGTAGATATATATTTATTCAACTATCTCATGATGTCGATTACACTTGCATTTTCTCTCGAAAAGCCATCAGAATTGACGATCGTTTTATAAAAATTCTGAAGTAGACTGTCGGTTTTGATCCAAAAACGGAGTCCCCTTTCATTCCAGTTTTCATTCCAGTTTGGATAAAGTTTTCAGGGTTAAAATTACATTCATTCAACATGAAAATCTTCTACTCTTTAGCATCTGCTTACGGTAAGCCTCTCAAGGTGGAAAGTCCTACGCTTATTGTCACTAGACCCTCTGTGGCTTGTGTGTTAGTTGAGAGAGATATCACTCAATCAGCTCCGGATGAGATATGGATTGACACTATGCACAACGAGTATTGACAAAAGGTTGAAATTAAACCACATCATCCTTATTGCTCTCATTGTAGTATGGTTGGCCACAACTCTAGTATTTGCTATCGTTTGCATCCTCATCTAAGGCCGAATATCGCTAAAGAACAACCACTACTATCCTTGTTGAGAAGATGCAACCCGATCCTCTTCCCAACACCGCAGTTTCTGAATAACAACATACTACAGCTACAAATCCAGTTGTGCCTCACACCACCCATTGTTATTGAAGACTCACTCACATGCCAAGACACACGAGAGTGCTCTTTTGATGCAATAACAGATCAGCCGGTACAACATGTAGTTGCTTCTAATGTTCAACAATCTACACATCTCTAGCACACTGTAGCACACTTTAGACTAAGATCAAGTGAGCCAATCTTCGGAAGAGGAATGACATGTCTATTCCAGGAGGAAGAAAAAGAATGAAGACCGACTGCAGCTCGGGAACATATTGGATGATACATTGGTTACTACTGGCAATGACAATCATCTTACCAACTTATTAGCTTGCTCCTTTCCTAGAACTAAAGGCAGAGTCAAAACCAAATTGGGTTGCTCTCTAGCCACCTGATATTATGTATTTCTGCATTTTTTAGCCTTTTCTTTATGTCTCTAATGTACTTTTCAGTATTTTCTAGTTGTGGAACCCCTTGTGGTTTTGTTGTGAGCAAGCCCAAAAGTTAATATATTAAAGGGAAATAAGGATACATATAAATTGTGTGGAAGGGCCAAGCATGCACTCTTCCCCGACGATAACCATCACATACATTAGGTTCCAAAAAAAGAGAAAATACAGAAAAATACAAGAGACAAATAAAAAAAAAAACAAAAAATGCAAAAAAAAAACGTAGTATCAGATAGCTAGAGAGCGACCTAATTTTCATTTGCCTCTACCTCTAGTTCTAGGAAAGGAGCCAAATAATAAATTGGTAAGATGAGTGCCATTGCCAGTAGTGACCAAAGTATCATCCAATAAGTTTCCAAGCTCGAGTCGGCCTCCAGTCTTCTTCTTCCTCCTGGAATAGATCTGCCATTCTTCATCCGAAGATTGGCTCGTCTGATCAGTGGATTTGTCTAAAGTGTGCCGAACATGTGTAGGATGTTGAACATTAGAAGCAACTACTTGTTGTACCAGCTAATCTTTTAACGGATCGAAGTACTCTCGTGTGTCTTGGCATGTAAGTAGACCTTCTTCAATAACAGTGGTAACAGTGAATGATATAAACACTTTTGGATCTATACCTGTAGTATGATGTTCTTCATCAGAAACTGCGATATTGGGTAAATGATCGATTTGCACTTTCTCAGCAGGGATGATAGGTGACTGATCTTTAGGATATCCAAAACCTGTCATGTGGTAGCTTTCTCTTCAGATGGAACATATATGTCCAGAGTAGTGAGATTAAATTCATCCTTATTCACTTGATTAAAGAGATTAGATACAAATAGGTTGTGTGAGTGAGCCCAAATCGGCACCCAACCCACACGATACAACACACAAAGAAATAAAAAAGGGTACATATAAAAGATAAAAAAGCCCAAAACCACTACGGCACGAAAAAAGTGAGGGTCATCCCAATTTAGTTCTGTCTCCGCCTCTACTTCTCGGAAGGGACCCTACTAACAAATTGGTAAGGTGTGTACCATTACCCGAAGTAATCAAAGTATCGTTCATAAGATTCCTGAGCTCAAGTAGATCTCAATTTTTCTTCTTCTTCTTTCTGGAAGTATAAACTTGTCATTCCTCATTCGATGAATCAGTCTGATGAGGTGGTAGAACTATAATAGAAGGATTACCAACCGTTTTACCCACAATAGGCTCTAATATATGTGAAGTATGAGTTGCCTCTACACCAGATACTTCTTGAAGATGGAGAGCTGCGAGTTTCTTTTGATTATTAGTCCGAACACTATCCTTTTTAGGTAATAGTCCTTCAATGTTGTTTTCAATAGGGTTTGAAGTTGTAGTTTGCCCAACAGAGCCATCTAACATCACATCAATCGCAGTAACAACAGTGTCGGTTGGGGGGGGGTTATAGGGGCAACAAACACCTCCTGTCTTGTGGTAGTATCCTCCACAGGTGGAACTAATATGTCTAGAGCAGTGGGGTTAGACTCGTCCTTATTCTCTTGAACCTTAGATTTCAATTTAGGATGGAGCTTGTGATATTTATCAATGATATGCCCAAACATCTTGCAGTGAGTACAATAAGCATGTCTGTGTTTCATGACAATTTATTGCCAATATCCATTACGAGTTGTGCCCGACCAGACTTTAGTAACATCAGGTAAAGTAATATATCTTTCCACAAGTATTCTGGCCACCAAAGGCCTGGTTAAATTGAAAGTGGCTAGATCTAGCTTCAAAGAGTCCCCAAGAATGACCCCAATAGAATAGAGAACCTGATGATGAAAAAAGTGCAGCTTGAGAACAGGTAGACTAAATTAACTTCATTGAATTGCCTACAATATTAAGATATTTATTGGAAAAAAGTGCAGCTTGAAACCAGGTAGACTAAATTATCTTTAAAGGGTCTGCTAGAATGACTCCAAGAAAAAACCCATATCGGTACCATGGGAGTTTCACTATTTGGGTTGAAATTAGGAAGCCATTTGAGTAACTTCATTGACTTGCCTGCAATATTAAGATATTTCTTGGAGAAAATCTGTGTGTAGTCTTCAGCCACGGTTAGTTGAATCAACATGTGTCTCCCATCCATGAGTCCCACTTTCCACTTGACTACTAGTTTAAGATAATCAACACTCTCTGATAATTTTCATAGGTGGGTGCCCTCGCTAAATTTTTTCAATAAGAGCAAACTTGAATTTCTCCGTCAGGGTTGAAATTTTTAAGTCAGAGAAAAAAGATTACTGCTTTCCCACTTTTCTCGCTTCTCTTCTTAACAAAAGAGCAATCATCTGTACGATCACGACAATCCTTATAGCTTGAGGGGAAGACAACCGCCGACTCTACCTGAGGGTTACCCACCACGTGGGCAAAGGAGACTTTGTGAGTTTATATATATATATATATATATTCAATAATTCATATTCCCTTTATTAACACAAATTTTATCACATCAAACAACTAAGGCATTTGAGAAGGCATTATAGAGAGTGCAATGAACGGGATATCAGTGGGAATTAAATTTCTTCTTGACCCTGGAATTCTGCTCTGTGGTTGAGTAGCTAATATGGTTCTGGATTTCCTGGAATATGATAAGCCTCAAATTTCAGCATAATGACAAATTTAATGGTGTTATTATTCCTTTTATTTTCTTTGATTAGATGTAGTTTTTTTTTTCACCTGTTGGATTTAACCCCAAGGTTGATTTTTACAAAGATTGTTTTCCAAATCCGTTGCCCTCATATAATCCTTTTTGATACATCAGAATTATTTTAGTCTAATATTCGAAACCCCAGTTTTCTCATGATAATAATGGTCATTAATTAAGTCATTTCTTTCACCAATCAGGTTCATCACAAAGCTTTTTTATGCACCATATTTTATGTTCTCTTTCATTATGCATTGCTGAGAGTGCCACTGAAAAGATTGAGTGGAAGCTTAGTTACTGGTTGGGATGGTCATAAGGAATAATATGAAAATAATTTTTCGAACAATTGCTAGGATTTGTTCACAACATATTATTTTGAAGATTTATTTAAACAAAAATATTCTAATAAGTTTCTGTTAGAATATTTTTTATTTAATGAATCGTCATAATAGTCAGCTTTAATGGTTTAGGTCAGCAGTAACCATTGCTTTGCTGTGATTTTGTCTTGATTGAAGTCTGAGCCAATTTTTAGTTGTTGGAATTGAGGAAAGATGTATGTATGTATGTATTCATGTATGTGTATTATATAGATTGGTGTTGATTCAAGAGCGATCCATAAGTTGCTTAAATTTTATTTTCATCCCTCACTAATTTAATGATTTGCAAAGTATTATTAAAGATTAAGTGTCAAAATAGTCTTATGACTATTTATATTGGGTCATTTTAGTGCCAGAGTTTATAAAAGTGCCAAATTAGTTCTCGGACTGTTTTAATGGGGGTCAAAATAGTCGGTACTAGTAACTATTTCAGCCCATATGAAAAAAGTATGGAGGCTAAATTATTACTTTTATAAAATTTGGTATTAAGCCGGGGATCATTTTGACACTATTCTCTATTATTAAACAACTGGGATGTTTTCTATTTCTCCTGAAACACTTGTGGTTTAGGATTTTTATTTGGTATTTGAATTTTCAGGGCCAACAACTGTCTTATCGTTCCTATTCCTTTTACTTTACTTGTGATAATGTCAACTGTGACATTGAAAAATACCATGAACCATTATACTGGATATCATGGTTAAGGGAGCATCTATTATCTGTTGAGAAGGTAAAACCCACACAACCTCCTCAATTATCAGCAATTCATCCTGAAGGTATGTTTGCCATATTACTTATTTTTTATCATGATAGCTTCTCATGATTTTTCATTGAACTAGGTTCAGCAAGGCCAGCTTCTTCTTTTTCATGTTTCTGCATCTTTATGAGCTTGTTAGGTATTGTTATGATTTAATGCCATCAGTTTACTTTCTTGCAGGGGTGAATCTATTACTAGGCTCAATATTTTCCAGTTTAGTTATTTCTCCTGCTTTTCACACCTCAGCGGTTGATTTTCTTGTTGTCATTGGTCGTGAAGACCCTAAACTGGGTATGACAATGTTTCAAGCTGCTCTTTTCTATATTAATATTCTATTCAAATTTGAGAGCAATTCTTCAAGAATACTGGTATGTTATGTTCTTATATCCTTTCTTCAAGTCTACTGAGAAAAGAAATAAAGCAAAAGTTCTTCTAGTCTTCTTTTCTTGAATGAATTTTAATACCTAAGATGAAAGAGAGCGGCAAAGTTTCAAGAAAAAATAATTCCTTGAGTGAGGAGCTGAAGCCCCCACCTTTTTTTATTAAGGAAGTAATTTGTTGAATTACAACAACAACAACAATAAAGCCTTAATCCCGCTACGTGGAATCTGATAATTTTTGAATTATCCTGCTTAAATATTATTGAGGTATTTTTTAGCTTGAGATATTGTCATCTTCCAATTTTAATTCTGCAACGAGGAAGCCAGTAGAATAGCTTCATGTAAGTACATTAAATGAAGAATTGAATACAATTGTTATGTAGTCAACAAATAGATAATTAGTCATGCTGTGATTATGGAAAGCATCATTATGATGATAGCTGGCATTTTTATGATCTCTTTCTTTCAAGTTACTCTTGCATTCCCTTGCCAATTGACCGACTCAGTTACCATTTTTGATATTCAAAACCATATTTTTCTACCCGACCAATATTTATGATGGCAAGCTTTATTTCTAGGGCAATCTTATTAGAAATATGGACTATGGAAAGTTCCATTACTGTGGCAATCACCAATTTGCATCCAACTGACTTCTTATCCCGAGGGAGTTTAGTAAGAATCCATTTGTCATTATGCTATAGTGCTCAAATCTACTCTTCAACTGCTTCCCTCCATTCTTGAATTGAAGTGCTTCATGAATGGATTTTGGAATCTGCACACCATCAATGTTAGATTCAAATATTGTGTTAGAAATTGATGGAAACATTTATTTGAGAGGTCTAAAGTAAAATTATGAACAAAATCACACAAACAAGGAAACACAAAAAACACAAAAAAACATAATAAGATTTAACGTGAAAAAATTCGAGAACACAAGAAAAAATACAGATCTACACCACACTACACCAAGAAATTCACTATTAAAAGAAGAGAAATAATACAAATTACACCACATTCGAGCCACTCTATAACTATGGAACTCACAAACACTTCTTTCGATCAAGAGAACTTGCAAAATTCAACTTCAGCATGCACTTGCACTTCTGCTCGCTCACATTCCCACAGTGAAAAATGAAGTCTTAAATCCCAAATAGAAATTTAGCTACAGGCGCGTTGGTGCCACTATCAGGCTGACTTTTTGGGTGCTATGTTTCTACAACTGGAAACCAGTCTGGCTGGGTGCGACATCACGAGCTTTGCCATAGGGTTGCCCCATTGCTGTGCCTATGTGTTGATCCTAGGCACAGGGGTGCTCGATTCACTCCATAAAATTGAGAGTTCTTCCAATTTCGGTCTAATTAATATAGAGGAAAGATAATGTTGATTGTTTTGGTTCTTTCTAGGAGGTGATGGTGCCTTTTAATGGTATTTCATTAAGTTTTTCAGTCTAAAGTTCAGGCTCTTTTTTTATTCTAGGCTATTTTCTGACTACCTTTTCTAACTCTTTTCCACTTCTCAATCTTGTGTCATTTTGTTGTTTCTTGCCTTGGTTCTTATGATTCACCTCAGTGTTTGATACCAGAGTTAACTTAAACCGCAACCAAACAATACCATTTTATTACTGAATTCAAAGAATGTATAACGATGACTCTCAAGATAGAGGAACACCAACATGCAAACTATCAAATGAAATGACAATGACGACTCCTCCAACAAGAATAAAGTAGCATGAAATAAGAAGTGAAATGTTAGAAAACACATAAACGACTCTCTCAACTTGAGGACGTCAGGTCTAGTTGGAAAGGAAGGGGGCGCGATAGTGCCAGAGGGAAACATAACAAAGTAGGGTTGCTAGCAGAATGTAGGGGAAGGTGGGCAGTGACTGGAAGATGATGACGACGGTCTAGACAGCGACCGAAAGGTGATGAGGGTGGTCTGGTTAGCAACCTGGAGGGTGGACAACGATTGAAAGATGACGACGATTGTCTAGGCAACAATCTGGAGGGTGGACAACGCTCAGAAGATGACATCAACAGTCTTAACAGAAACCTAGAGGGTGGATAGTGCCCGGAAGATGATGACTGCGAGCTGTGGTGGGGATTTGGAAGGATAAATATCTCGGCGGGGTCAAGCTATAGACGGAGCACTGCACTCCAGGACTCTTGGAGACTACACCACTTTGGACGAGTTACAATCGGAACACTTCCTTATCATCAGATACAATCCTCAGAAGAAAAGAACTCCTCAAAGGCAACAAACTGAAATTTGGAATAATAAAAAATAGAACCCTAACACTACCAACAACATATTAATAATTGGAATTAGTAAATAGAATAGGAAAGGATCAGAATAAAAAAGAAATTGAAAAGGAAGGGCATAGAGTAGGAGTAAAATAGGAGAATCATAGAAAAAGGAAAGGAAATAGGAGGGAAGCGGAAAAGGAAAGGAAATAGGAGGGAAGCGGAAAAGGAAAGAGGTAGGGATTTACCGCGGTACTGTATCAGCTACAGTTCTGCAACTCGATATGTTCCATATGCGTTGCTTGGTAATGCCCATTGAGGTCTCAAACTCATTGAGTTAGCTGATTACCCAAATTTTCTTAATGTTCTTTATGACTATAACTTAAATTTATTTTTGATTTCCCATCTGTAACACCAAGTCTTCCAAAATTTTCTCTTCTTTAAATTTATTATTTGAGATGAATCTAGAAAGATTACTAGGGCTAGGGTTAAAAAAATCACTACCCTTATTGTTTCAATTGCTTAGGGTGTTTTGTTGGTTTCTAAATCATTGATTGTTTCCTACAATTTGTTTGTTATTTCAATTAAAATTATGGTGATTTTTATAATCAGGATTATAAGTATTGGAATAGAGGTTATTGAGTGTGTTATTTATGACATTCAATGACTCATCAGGGTAACAAAACGATGAACTAATTATCCATAGACATTTTCTTCTATTATTAGTGATCATGGTGCATAATTTAAGTTTATATTATCTAGCTTTCTCGATATAACAACTATTTAGTGGCCCTTTAAGAGAGTCAATCCTAGGAGAGTAGCCAATGTTAATGATACAGATTGTTCCAATTGCTTAGGGTGTTTTGTTGGTTTCTAACTCTATGATTGTTTCCTACAATTTGTTTGTTATTCCAGTTAAAATTATGGTGATTTTTGTAATCAGGATTATAAGTATTGGAATAAAGGTTATTGAGTCTGTTATTTATGACGTTCAATGACTCATCAGGGTAACAGAACGATCAACTAATTATCCATAGACATTTTCATCTATTATTAGTGATCATGGTGCAGAATTTAAGTTTATATTATCTAGCTTTCTCGATATAACAACTACTTGTGAAGTTAGAATTGTTATCACATCTGTATCATTGATATTGGCTACTCTCCTAGGATTGACTCTCTTAGAAGACCACTAAATACTATTGGTAGCCATATCTTGCGTAGGCCTTTTCAAAATGGTTGTAATAATAACGACTCTTTAGGTACAATGTCTATTATAGACCTCAAAGATCCCGCCAACCAATTATAGGAGGTTTGTATGCTTAGCCAATCAGGTAGAGCTTGACGCAAATACTTCATGAGCATTTCCTTAAGTCTTTCTCAAGCTTCATAAATCACTCATTATTCAACTGAGTAAAAGATATGATATTATTAATAAACATAACAGTTTTAGATGGTTAGAAATACTTAGGAATTTTTGGGCAAGGTATTTCCATGTTATGATTGAACTCTTATTGAACTCGTGGTAAGGAGTTTAGCCAAATCTTTGCCTTATCTCTCAAGGAAAATGGGACTAACCTAAGTCAAAAAACTTCATCGTAGACACCATTGTACTTAAATGCTACACAAATTTCTAAGAAACTGACAATGCACGATGGTTGTATTTTTTGACCATTTGAATGATTGAAGGTTTGAGTTCGAAAATATTAACGCTAATGATAGATCTTCTAATCCTCTGGTGCATTCCATGTACCAAGGGGTTGGAAAAGTTCCTAAGTGGTCTATGACAAACATTTTTTTTACTGAGTATTTACCTTATTTCTTGAGATCTTTTTAAGTTTTCTGATTTTTTTGACTAATTTTCAATTTTATAGGCTTACGACACTACTTTAGCAGGTCCAGTCCTTCACATACATCTTAAGAATAACTAGTGTTCCTAAACTAACAGTTAACACAATGACATATCACAAAATTTTGGATTTATAATGACAGTCCCTAACTGTTATTACTTATTATTAACTTTTATTCTCTTATTATGTATTTCATATTTGCTTTATCATATTTTATTTCTTTTCTATTTATTTATTATGTTTTATTTCTTTCCTTATTATGTCCATTATAATTGTGTTTAACTACCCTTCCTTTTATCAATAATATGTGCTGCTTTATTCCAAATCTCAACATGGTTTCAGAGATAAGTATGCAGAGTACGAAAATCCCTCTATAGGCTAAAACAGTCTCCATGGGTCTGGTTCGATAAGTTCATAAAGGTGCTCGTGAACCATGGTTTTACTCAGACTCAATTGAATCACACCCTTTTTTTTCGACATTCCTCCAATGAATAGATAACTGTCCTTATTGTCTTTGTTGACGATATTATTCTTATAGGTAACTATCTCCTAACATTGGAGTCCCTAAAAGACATCATTGTTATGTCATTTGAAAGGAATGACTTGGGATTTCTTCGGTACTTCTTAAGCATGACCCGATTATCTCGGAGAATTTGCCTGTTTTAACGCAAATATATGATTGATTTCTTGACAAAAACCATATTTTGCTGTGCAAACCTGTTAATGTTTCTATGGATCCCAATGACAAATTATTTGACATTCCCAATGCTGTGCCTATCAACATGATAATAACACATTGTGGGAAAACTCATCTGCCTCAGCCATACTCACCTTGACATATGCTACGCAGTTGGTATTGTGAGTTAATTTATGCATGACCCTTATGAGCACCATCTCCAAGACGTCCAACGGATTCTCCACTATTTAAAAGGTACACCGGACTTAGGTTTGTTTCTTTCCCATCAAATCTCTCGGTCTATTACTGTGTATACAGATGCTGATAGGGTCGGATCAGTTCATGTTCGACGTTCCATCTCAGTGTTTTGCTCAAATATATGAGGCAATCTTGTCACGTGAAAAAATAAAAAAATAGCTTATGGTTGCTTGGAGTAGTGCTGAAGATGAATTCCGGTTCTTTTCCTTGGGAATTTGTGAAACTCTTTGTTTACACATCATGTTCCATGAAATTCGTATGCCAACCTCCGTCCTGCTGTAGCTAAGGCTGCAAACAACATTGTTCACAATCCAGTCCAACATGGTCGTACTAAATATGTGGATATTGACAGACACTTTATTAAAGAAAAGATCGAGTTCGGGGAAATTTGTGTTCCTTATTTGCCCTCCAGTGGTTAACTAGCGGAAATCATAAAAAAAAAAATTCCTCAACCTTTGTTCTATGACATTAAATCCAAGTTGTACATGAATGACATCTATGCTCAACTTGAGGGAGAGTATTGAATTTATAATGACAATCCCTAGCCATTATTATTTATTATTTGCTTTTATTCCCTCAATATGTATTTTCTATTTATTTTATTCTATTTTATTTCTTTCTTATTTATTCTATTTTGTTTTATTTATTTCCTTTATTATATCTATTGTAATTAAATACCCATCATTCTATCAGTAATATGAGATGCTCTATTTCAAATCTCAACACAAATTATTCAAGACACAATACAATAACAACAACAACAACAACAACAACAACAACAACAACAACAAAGCCTGTCAGCTACATGAATCCTTTTTCTCCATTGTGTCCTTTTGAGTGTCATATTTTCATTTAATTCTAATACATTAAGATCAATTTTTATACGAAATGCTCAAGTCTTCTTACCAAAAATGAAATCTAGAATACAATAAAGAAGGAATATGTGCAAAACACAGAAACAAGAAATCATGAAGCATATTTTTTTAATTTTTTTAACGCATGAAATATCAATACAAAAAAAATTAAACAAAAATACTGCAAGTATCAAATCTAAACTTCAAAGGTTCAACTAAAATTCTTATAAAATGGAAGTTTAAACTCATTCCTTGACAACGATGACAATAACTTCATCCATGATGCAATAAAGCACACAGGTAAATCATGCAAATATACATGTTGATCAAGTAGTATACAAATTGATGATTGGGTATCGATCCCATAGAAAATGAGTTTAATTTTACAAAAAGGTGAAATTTTTAATCTTTTAATTATATTTTTAGTTTGAAGTGTTGAAATTTGATGAAGTTTTAAAAATGCTAAAATATTAATTGCAAAATAAAACCTAAAATCTAGTATAGAGTTTTCTAACAGCTGTGTTAGTTTCCCTTGCACTGGTTCTGTGAAATTGAAATTTCTCCAAATGATTTCCTTTACTATAGTTATAAAACGGGGCCCACTACTTTTTTTTTTTCCCCAAATATAACAAGCGTTGCAATCTCAAATTATATTAAGGTGGTCATGATCTTACAAGAATTTTCATGTATTCACATTCACCACTATGTTTGCAAGAATATACTGACAATATCCCTATTCCACTAAACTCTTATGTATTAACCTATTTGTGCTTTTAGTCAACAGTCAGAGGTCCTAGATTACAACTGATTCTAGCTATTCAAATGACCACTTTGAATATCAATTAAGGTAAAAAATTTAAAACAATAACTTCATAAATTAGAAGTTTTAAAAATCAAAGCATGAATATACCAAGATTTCCAACAAAATGAGTCCAAGGGAGGGAAAAAATTTACATGCTGGGCATGTTTTTAAACACAAACATCACTTGCATTAACAAAATCAAATCAATAGTACAAAAAGTAAGAAAGAACTCTGAAAAATAGCAATTCTTGTTCCTTAGTGATGCACACTACTTATAGATCAATCTTATTGGATTACTCAATAACGACCCAAAAAACTTGATGCCGTGATTTGGTGATGCATGGGTCAATCTTGTAAATGTTCCTGTCATTTAAGTCGTATATAGATTGAAGAGTTCATATATCAATCTCATAGAAAAACAAGTTAATTTTTCAAAAGGGTGACATTTCTAGTATACTAATCTTAGGTTTTGTTTGAAGCGTCGAGACTTGGTGAACTTTTTGAAGTTTTTAAATTCTAATGTGGAATAAAACTTATAGTCTAGTTGAATATTCAAACAACTGTGCTTGAATTGGTTCTATGAAATCCAAATTCGTCCAAATAATTTTTCTACTTTACTTGTCAAACGGAGCTTGTTACTTCCTACTATTTTCCAAAATATAGAAATCATTAGAATTCTATATTATAGTTATGTGATACTAACCTTGCTAGAATTTCTAGGTATCTACATTCCCTACTAGGTTTGTAAGAATCCACTGACAATATTTATTTTCTACTAAACTATTGTGTTTTAACCTAGTTGTGCTTCTAGTCAATGATCAGAGTTTAGATTACAACTATTTTGAAATATTCGAATGACCAATTTGAATGTAAATTAAGATTAGAAGGCTGACACAAAAAATTTGGATTTCTATAAATCAAAGCATGGATTCATTGAGAGAGAAGAAAATTACATATTATGCTTGATTTTAAACACAAACATCACTTGCATTAACAAAATTGAATCAACAATACTAAAAGTAAGACAAATAGAATCTTGGAATGTTGCAATCCTTGTTCTCAAGCCATTGCTCACTGCTTGGAGATCTTCCTTTTTAATTACAATTTACTTTCTTTGCTCTCACAATCACGCTCTAAACACACAAAATTCACTCCTTAAACACTCCCAAGATACACACACACACTCCCCAAACCCTCTCCTCTCTGCATTAGTGAATGAATGAAAAAAAAATGAGAGAAAAGCCCCCTGTGCTTCAGATTCATTGTATTTAAGCACCAGGGCGAGTAAAACTTCACGAAACTATAAAAATTGGTCGAAGTCAGTTTTGCACACGAATATGGAGCATTGCGTTCCCACAATGTGGCGCCTAGGTGTCAGGGTCAGACACCTCCTTTTGATATGCTCAGTTTCTTGTGCGATAGAATAATCCTTCTCTTTTGGCGCATAGGTGTCAGGCTGGGCGCCTCCTTTTCAGGGGCTAGCACCTACTTTCTAAGCTTGTTGTCGTATGATGTATTTTTGGCTATTTTTGGAGCTGATTCAAGTGCCTAGAGGCCAAAATAGGCACCGAGGTGCTTGGATAGTGTCTTAGCTTGAATTTGCTGTTCTTTTGTTCTCCTTGCTATATCTCGACATGTAAGTTACATAACCAAAGAAGCATACCCTAGAAAAGCATAAAAATAACAGAATTAACACGTAAAACACAAGGAAAATCACACCCAAGTTTCAACACACCAAATTCTCTCAAAGCTAAACATTACTTGACCTCAAGTAATTCAATACATAAAATTAGAATTATTCAAAAATTCATGGTAGATTGTGGCTTGGGATTACATTGTTATTTTGTAATGAGATAAATAAATAATTCAAGGGTTATACATCTCTTCTTAGGATTAAATTTTTATTAGAAACTTCTATCCCAACAAAACTTCTTTCTATATAATTATCCTTAAATCACTTATATTTGGTTGACTAAAATAAGATTACTTTCCAACCCCCCCCAACAGACACACACACACACACACACATTACTAAACAACTAAATATTGATAATTTGGTTCTTATCTTCTTGAATAGAAAATTTTGAATTTTGAGTTTAGAAGTTTTTTAATTGTTTGACATTTTGAAGGGTAATTGGTACTAATTTTTAAATTTAAGCTTAATCTCAAATTTTTGTCTAAAACTTCAAAATCCTTTTCTTTATAGCATATTTAAGTGTTCGGCTTCATTCTATTTGAGGGGCTTCGTAATCTCCTCCACTAAAGTAACTGACGTCTCTGTCAATTTTCGTAACCTAGAATCATGCAACTGATAGATAGGATGATTATAGAGGTGACCCCTATAGATTCAAGAGACGGCTTCCATGATGTAGCACTTTGTCCCATCTTGGGTTCAAATAGTAGCTCCCATGATGCAACACTTTATTTTGTATGATATGTAGTTTTAATATTCAAGCTTGTGTAATGGTTTGATACATTTTTAAAAATAGGTTTGGAGAAGGAAAAATTGTTTCATTTCATTATTCACATGTAAGGTACATATATAGGGAAATTAATCCCTCATAATTTACAAACTTACCAAAATATCTAATCTTGAAAAGGAAATAATTCTATAATAAAAAGATAAAGAAACATAAATAGGAAGGAAATAAACTAATCAAGGATTTTCTAAAGTTGTCTTCAATTTGATTCCCTAAATATTCTAGAGGGGTTTCTTCTCTTTTCACAATTTCTGAGATGCTGTACGTAAGGGGATAATATTCATGCTTGGCGTTTGATTTGAAGTTCAAAAGCTTACATCCTAATTTTTTTCTGTAATTTTTATGATTTAACATTGAAAAATTATGATGGTTTTTGTTTTCTTTTATCTTTATTTTTTTTTGGTTCTATTTGCAACCATAAATTTGAATGTTCAAAACTTTATACCCTAAAACTTTTTCTCTATTTTTTTATTTAAAATTAAAAAAAAAATCGTTTTTTTTCTTTAATCTTCAGCTGTTTTGATCTATTTTTGACCATAAATATTGGTATCAAGCATTTATTTTGAATCTATTTGTCTTCGTTTTACTCTGGCAATTGCATGATTTGGTTTGCTCACTCGTCTTTACCACTGCCTGATTGCAGCTCAGACTTCTGGAAATGCTTCCATCTCTGGTTTCTCATTCGGCCATGGTGCAAATTATTGTTCAGACAATTTTGCCTATGCTTCATAAAGATGCAAAACCGTATGCTGTTTTTCTAGTTCATCTTTTCCATCTAAAAGTTGATCATTTTATGCATATTTCATATCTGAGCATTTTCTAGTTTGTTCTGACTTAGGTGAGACTCTTAATCGCTTTTTTTTGTATCAAAATTTTTAGCATACATTAGATCTGCTAATAATTTAGAAAAAAATAGGGTTCAATTTTTTTTTCTTTAAACTGGGATTCTGTTGTTGATGCTGAAAATGTTTAGATGAAGCTACAAGCTATATTGATATCTCGAGGAGGGTAATCACATTGGTGGCACACTTCTTACAAGTTCTAAAATCCACCTTCTATCCTTTTCTATTAATTTGCTTGATGTGCTAGATGTGAACCTAGCAAGCCTTTAGTACTTTACCTTACAACTTTTAAAGCATACAGATACGCTGGATATAATTAATAAAGGGTTCTATTTGCCACACCCCAATTGGTCCCCCTTTTGAAGGTCGGCTGAGGTTCGATAGAAACGAACAATTCAACATATTAAATTCTCACCAACACTCATCCTGACCTGCATGATCAGGACCCAGTGGGTGAAGAACTAGTCTAATTAAATTGTCACAACATGCGTGATATATTCTATTTCATAATTCATTCATATACAAACTCTAAAGCGTTGAAAAATCATATGTTCAATACATATAAACTATACAAAACTGCTAAATTCAACATAAATTAAGTACGTACCCAAAAAATCTCTACAGTTCCTAAAACTATACAGTGCAAAATTGTACAAATCATACCTGACTACTCACCCAAGTGCTCGTTGGCCCTACCTGATAGACAACAACGTAAAATGAGCAACAACGAACTTTAAAAAATATTCAGGGCTAACATAAAATTTTAGACATGGAAATGAAACAACGTGCATGCACATATAAAATTGTATATGTCTACACACAAGTCATAACATGCTAGCATAGTAGAGAAATGAAAAAAAAAAAATTAGTGTAAATATCAAAACTCTAATGTAAACATATTTGTCCTAAACATAAAATCATAAGTATATTCATAAGAATGTTCTTAAGCATGATCATAAGCTTCTTATCGTATGTAATCATAACAATGTCATTTCATATATGTTATTTCAGAGTAATGACACTTGTAAATATATAAGACTCAATTATTTCCATGTTCATTTATTATGGGTCGTTATCTCGCCTCAAAAACCATATAAGCTATCGATAAAAGTTGGTTTTCTCCTAACATAGGACTTATCAATAGCACCTTGATATATACACTTTCCTAACGTTCTGTCACCACCTAATTCCAACGGTTCAAAGAGTTTCGTCCTCTTATAAATATTGAAAGTCGGGAATACTATACTCTTGTAATAATCTACTCATAACATTACCTTTAAGTCTAAGTGGTACATTTCTAGATACTTTTCTATCACATAATAGGCCAGATGCATTCCTGCACTTTAACCATCCAACTTGAATTCTACTAATAACATCATCCTCTATATCGCCATTACTTTGATCGATAAATCCAAGATATCTAGTGTTACCTTTTTTTAATGACTTGATCACCAATTGTTATAACCTCGCCACTAGATTTACTACTACTGAAAGTACATTTCATGTATTCAATTTTAGATCTACTCAAACGAAAGTCTTTAGATTCAAAAGGTTACCTCCATAAATTAAGTTTTCTTTGAACTTTCTGTAGTCTTATCTACAAGAAAAATATCATTAGCAAAAAAGCATACACTCAGGTACATCCTCCTGTAAATGTCCAGTAAGAACATTCATAACTAAAGCAAGAAGGTATGGGCTTAAAGCCGCTTCCTGATGTAATCCAACTAAAATAGGAAAATACTTGATCAATCTTCCTTGTTTTCAAATACATAGCACAACTCTAGTATATTTATTGAATGTAAGCAATGTCAACTCTTTTTTTTTTCTAGAACTCTCCAAAGTACTTATCTTGGACTTGATAAATAGTTTAAAATGGCAAATAAGAATTCTCATTATCATTTTATCTTTTAGTTATTTAGTTTATTCAAATGCCTTGTAATCTTTGATCTTTAATCCAAATTTAGGATGAGCTGAATTAATGACGTTGATTCCTAGTTCATGGTTTAAAGTTATACTGACACATTATCAATCAGTTAATTAAATGAATTTACTTAGATTTGTAATTTATAAGCGTTCACTCCCACTCCATTGTGTGTGATTTTATATCACTTTGCTTTCCTAGCTGAATTAAAGACGTTGATTCCTAGTTCATGATATAAAGTTATACTGACACATTACCAATCAGTCAATTAAATGAATTTACTTAGATTTGTAATTTATAAGCGTTCACTCCCACTCCATTGTTTGTAATTTTATATCATTTTGCTTTCCTAGTAGTTGCTTTTTTGAAGGCTTCTATATGAAAATTTTCAAGATTTTTATGGACTACTTCTATCATCAACTAGTTAGAATATCTTTTATTCATTTCAACAATAAACTTGCAGTAGTTATTATTAAGAATTTGGCTTCCACATATATATATATTTTAAGTCTGTACATGACTAATGAATGGTTCATATGCTGATAATGCTTATAATACAAACAAAATTTGTAAGGAATACTAATAAATGCAATATAATTAAGTTTTAGAGGAGGAGATGAAGAAATTTTTAAAATTGATTATCCTTTCAAATTTGATGTATCTATATGAATAAGCAGTTTATTAAAAAAAAAAAAATTCAGTTGGCCTAAAGACTAGTGATATCAGAACTAGGTGGAAAACAGTGGAAACACACAAAACAAACATATATTGATGTAGGGAGAGGGTTACAACACAACTCAATAACAAATAACAATACAAAACATAAACGACCCAAACAAACACCTCTAAGGTGTATTCCAAGGGCAAGGGCAATGGAGGTTGGCTAGATGGATCGGGGTGATCGGCAGAGGTGATGGAAGCAAATGAATGCTGTTGGCAACGACGGGAAGGTGCTGAATTGCAGGAACAACAAGTATGGAGGTCGTAGGTGACCGTCGGTAGACGAAGGGATAACTGGAAGGTGCTGGACAACAACAACAATGGTAGTGGGTCGAGGAATAGTCGGTTGGGAGTGCTAGGAAGGAGGGAGGATGACTGGACAACAAGATAAGGCTGCAGGTATGGGGCGGCTGGGTGCAGGAATGAAGGAGAGGGGGGTCGATGGCTAGGAGAGGGGAGGAGGAAGATTGTGGAAGGTGAGTG